TGACGATATATATATATCGTCACAAATAGAACTGCCCGGTAAACCGTAGGCAGAGAGAGAGAAGAGGACAACAAACGAGGGGCTGTGACAAACTGTTTCGTCGGAGTTTCACCGACTCATCAGGAGGCTATATATATATATATATATATATATATATATATATATATATAGAGAGAGAGAGAGAGAGAGAGAGAGAGAGAGAGAGAGAGAGAGCAATGATGATTGCACGACACTTTTAGAGCCGAGATTGTATGCAATGACCAGGCCTTCTGTGTGTGTGCATGTACGCAAAGATATCTGCCAGATATGAGGGGTTTTGTCCTTGTGGGCAGCAAGCGACAAGATATCTGATCAGGCAACCTTGCTGTCAAGCAGAAGCAGGAGAGCAAATGAAAACGGGGTTGGCGGAGGGTGGACAGGACCTAGAAAGAGAATGCCGAAATGAGTACAGGCCAAACACTTGTTTGTCTCTATTTCACTGACTGAGACACAAGAGGAAGGGACAGAAAGGTGTTGAAAAGTAAGAGAAAGATGGTGTGGAGAATGCTCTGCAGAGTCGAGATTAAGACTGTGCATGGTCATATCAGATTGCAAATTAAAAGAATGTTTTGAATATTTATTATTTACAGGGTTCAGTGCTGGCAGAGGATCCCCTTGCTGTAACGAGGGTTGCTGGTGGAAGAGGAAAAAAGAATCAGATGGGCGCTCTCCAGAATAGAATCGATCCTTGTTTTTCAACAACAACAGAAAAAACACACACAAGAAAGCCATTGCTTACCGACGCATCAGGAAGCTCTTTCACAGCGTCATCGACAGAACCTGCTGTTGATTGGACCTGCATGTCAGAACCATCCACAGAACACACAAGCAGGAAGTCGTAAGGATGAAGATGGAAGAAAAATTCGCAGTTGGCGGCTATCTCTGAAGTTTGTATTCCAGGATCATTGTGACCATAGTATTTCAAAACCACATGCCCGTTGGCTGTCCTATAGACGTACGAAACTCGATATTTTTCAATTTATATAATCGTGCGAAGTGCATGGAATGGGATGTTGGTTGCAAGTTGTGTTTAGGAAACGGAGAAAAAGATAACTTAGTCACATCATACGGACATGGAGTACATGTCGAGTTTGATGATGGAGATTTCAACTTTTCACAAGCTCTCTTCCATTGAGATAGGCTGGAACCAACCAGCTTGACAATGGGTCAACACCTGGATTGTATCGATGAGCTTCACGAGAAAAAGAGCAAGAGATGGGGCCAGGGGCAGAAGCATTTGTGCACGCGCATGTGCAGACTCACACAATGGGGGGCAAGAGAGAGAGAGAGAGAGAGAGAGAGAGAGAGAGAGAGAGAGAGAGAGAGAG